TTTTTAAGACATCTTTTAGACGTCTTTTTTAAAGACGTTTTTAAAATGGCGTTTAAAAGGCGTCTATTTAAGCGTTAAAAAAAGGTCTAGAAGATATCTCTTTTTAAGACATCTTCTAGACGTTTTTAATAAATGCGTTTATAAAATGACGTTTAAAATGCGTCTTTTTAAAGTTTAAAAAGACGTTTAAAAGAATCATAATAAATAGTCTTAAGGACGCATTAAAAGACGTCTAGATCATAAGGCTAAAAGACTTCTTTTCTGAGACCTGTGTATAAATATGTCATTAATGACATATTTATAAACAGGTCAAAAAGAAGTCATAATTATGACTTTTTTTTGACGGCTCTTATCATTACGCGTTAAGTAGATGTCGTTTATTCAAAGTAAAAACATAGTTTTTATTATTTTCAATAATTTGTTCAAGTTTTAAGTGTAAATCACTTTAAATTAAATTACTTTTTTACAAAATTGCCAAAGTTGTTGTCACAGGAATCACTAAAACAATTGCTATAATATTAATATATCTTTTTTTTATTAATAATTATTTTGCTTTTTTAATAGACAGTTGACTGATCATGATAATAAGTGAAAATGGCAAGAATAATAAATAAGTTAAATATCAGTATTTTTAGTTTTTATACACCCACAAGCCATATAATAAGTCATGTATGCGGTCAAAAATTATCTAGCAATAAGTTTGATAAATTTTATTATAACTTAAGACAAGTTATAATTGTTTTAAATACTGTTTTGATATATATTTGCTATTGTTATTTATAATTTTCATCTTAGATGCATCAATCGTTGGTGGTGATTACAGCAATATTATTTTGATTGCTGGTTCCTATGTATATCTTGTATATACGAAATTATACCAATATATATCGTTGTAAATATAATGAATATATATCACATACTACGCGAAAATGTTACGTCATGTACTTAGATTTATTTTGAACAAAACGTTTTTATAAAGACGTCTTCATTTAGACGTCTTTTAGCCTTATGATCTAGACTTATGATCTACAAGTGCGCCTTTTAGACCTCCTTAAAGACATCTTTAAAACGTCTTTTAAACGTCTTTGTGCTTACTGGGTTTATATATATATATATATATATATATATATATATATATATATATATATATATATATATATATATATATATATATACATATATATATATATATATATATATATATATATATATATATATATATATATATATATATATATATATATATATATATTTTATATATATATATATATATATATTTATATATATATATATATATATATATATATATATATATATATATATATATATATATATATATATATATATATGTTTATATATATATATATATATATATATATATATGTTTATATATATATATATATATATATATATATATATGTTTATATATATATATATATATATATATATATATATATATATATATATATATACTCAGCAAACATGCTTTCAGCGGACCTCGTTGCGCAAAGCCGCCGCCGGAATGCCGGTGCCGGCCCTTTGTGATTGCTAATGCGGCTTACCGTAGCCGGGTAGCTGATGTAGGACCGGCATGCTATTTTGTGTTGGTTTTCCGCTATCGGCCGAAGAGCGATAAAACACCTCGTTGCCAATGTGATTTTAATAGGCATGCCAGCTTCGGTAAGTTTATGACGATACGCTTTAGTTTTGCCAGCACAATGCCCGAGTTGGCTCCCGGATAACGGTAAGATGTCGTAAAAACACTAAAAGTAAGCATTTCAAGCGCCATGAGACTTACATTGATCGATTTTTATATTTTATACTGTAGTACATAGTCTATGTAAAACAGTAAGTAATAAATAAATAGTATTAAAAAAAATCAAATTAGTTTTTTTATTTTTAAGTCGCGCAATATAGGTTATATAAATTAAATCTACATCTATACTTTATATTATAAAATATAGCTATAATTATTGCTTATAAATATTAAAAGTTACATTATTTTGTACCTTTATCTATATTTATAAATTATAAATATAGATTTAAATATAATATATTATAATATAATATAAAGTATACTTTACTATATATTATATTAAAATATATTATATTTATATCTATATTTATAATTTATATTTATATCTATATCTATACTTATATATTATTTCTATATCTATACTTAATATAGATTACTATATATTATATCTATATCTATACTTAGTATAGATATAAAGTATAGATATACATATAGGTTCAATATATATTTATAAGACTCAAAATTAAAAATTCTAATTTGATTTTATTTTAAACATATATAACTTTAACAATATTGTTACAGTTATGTGACAATTTTATAACTATATTAGTATAACATTGTTCTTTTTATATTAAAAGTTACATGACTAATCATATAACTTTTAATATAACAAGAACAATGTTATACTAATATGAAGTTATATTTATATATATATATATATATATATATATATATATATATATATATATATATATATATATATATATATATATATATATATATATATATATATATATATATATACACACACGCACACATATATATAATATATACATTTTTAAATATATGTACCAGCTATAGAAAATAAAACAATTTATGTAAGTTTCAATAGTGAGCTTTTGGACAAAACGACGAAAGATAATAGCTGATGTTGAATATTGCCTAAAAGATCTAACCATTAAATCAAGCAATATTTCACATTCACCAGAGGAAGTACAATCATTGTATTTAAAAAGTATATCAGATCGAAAACTTTCAACTGAGAGTGTTATTCCATCAGGTGCAAATAATATTGATTGCGAAGTGAACTCTGACAGTAATCTATTAATATTAAATATTGGCATTAGACAAGTTATTTTAAGTAATAATTTAGGTTTTTAAAGAAAAAGGATTGTATACCAATTCAAGTCAACATTGATGATTTACCATTGTTTAAAAGCAGCATTGGACAATTTTGACCAATATTAGGTTTAAAAAGTGTGGATAAACAATATTCAACACAATAAAACCCCATTTATAATCGGTCATTTTTATAGTAGGTCTAAACCAAAAGACCGTAATGAATTTCTAAAAATGTTTGTTAATGAAAGTATTGCTTTATTTGAATCTAGTATTAGTATTAATGGTAAAGTATATAAGTTTGCTATATCAGTTTTATTTGTGGTACACCAGCTAGATCATTTATAAATGGAAATAAAGGACAATAAATAAGATAAAGCCTATTAATAAATGTTATGCAATAATTAATGGCATTAACTTGATATCTATTTTTTTTTAATTTTTTAAAAAATATTCTTTAGTATATATATTACTGATGCTTTTTCTATATTTTTTTTGTAGATAATAGCTGTGGCAAGTAAAGGAGACCAGACTTTAAAGGAGGCTGTCCAGAGAATGTCTTTTGCGTTATTCACTAATAACCTCTGCTATAAACTTAACTGGTCTGGTATTACTATAAATGACAATGAAAGTAACTTTGTAAAACAAAGACTTACACTTGCTTAAAAGTAATTTTTTTTGTTGGGGTTTGTTACTCTAATTTAATAATTACTTGTGTCTAATTTAGTAATTACTAATCTATTTGTTAATAAATAGTTGATAAATAAATAAAATTTATTTATTAACTATATAAAAATAAAAAATTAATAAATAGATAAATAAAATTTGTTAATAAATAGCTTTAAAAAAAATTCTATATATTTCTAAAATTAAGTTAAAAAATATATTTTTTGTTTTCCTGCTAGATAGTTAAATAAAAGTCTTAAATTAATTTTTAGGAGCTGTAAAAAGAAATCCTGCAACAACTTCAGCAACTGTATCAGATTTTCAATATGAGGTTGTGCGTTTTTTGCGTGGTGCATCAGACCGCAATGGCGGAAAAAAAGTTAGACTAGACCAAAAAAACAGTTAAGCCAAGAATAAAGTGATGCCTACATCAAGTTTTCCAACGCCATTAAATAAAGAGGCATTTTTTAGTTCAGAAGATGAATATTATTGTTAAATAAAATAAGCATCTTTATTTACAAATTTGTTATCTTTATTTTATTGAAAACTATTTTATATATTTTTAAATATTTTAATTTTTAAACTCAATAGAGTAAAGTTTTTGTGCAATGAGTATTACTGTTTCTGTGTTTTTCATATTCATTCCCTTTTACAGTAACCTTTTGTATATGAGATTGTTGATGAAAATTTAAATCGTGATATTGAATCTTACCAAAGAATAAAGTAAGATTAATTTTATTATTTTGATATTTATTTAATTTTATTATTTTGATATTATTTTAATGTTATTTTTGAAAAAAATCCAAAATATAAGTTCTGGAGTCTGTCTACTTTTTGGTTTGTTTGATTATATTAAATTTAAATATAACTATAAGCTTTAAAATATAAAGTTATTGATGGAAAGTTAAATTAACTTGGTATTTAACCAGTGAAGCAGATGACTAAAAATCTAACAAAATTTTTATTTTACAAGCCATTATTTTAAAGGACTGCTTTAACAATTCCGTTAAAACATGCTTGTAATTTAATGTTACATTTATGATTTAATATTATTTCTTTACAGGAAACCTCAACCAGAGTTATATTTCATAGAATTATGTTGACCATGATCCAACTATTGCCATGGGTATAAGATAGATGTTTGGTTTGCAAACTGGATTTAAATCATACTTTCTTTAAACATATTTATTTGCTCTTTATATGCTTTCAAATAATTTATTAGAAAAAATTATATTCTTATTTACTAAACCGTTTTATTTCAATCAATTATTTGATTTTTTATATTTTTCAAGGAGTTTTTATAGTATATTATATTGGGCTATGTTTTTTTTTTTTGTATGGTGAAAACTATGTTCAATTTACAAACTATATTTTAGTTTATTAAAATATATTTTTATTGATGTGTTTTGCCTCTGATTCTTTCTTTTTCAGATGTGCACTTGTGTCTTGGGCTTATGCTTTGCAAAAGGGCTTCATCGCCCTTAAGTTGCTGTGGGTTTTACGGTTTTACTTCCAACCTGGCATATAAGTATCTCATTTTCTAATACTATTTTATTTGTTAAATTATAATTAAAATAAAAGATACTTTTTTTAATGAAATAACAATTTTTTTTTATTGTTCATAAACCCCTCAAGCATATTTATAGGATTAGGTATAATCAGGTAGGTTACTGTATATGAAGTTTTATTTTTTTAAAAAAGCACGCAATATGACTATATTTTTATATAGCTTTTTTTTAAAGTTATTTCCATAGCTTTTCAATTTAAACAATGTTTTGGTTGTTTTTTATGTTTTAAATTATGCTTAAATAATAAAATTAAATTTATATTTATTCGTAAATGCACTTAGTATCTGAAGTTATTTGTCAATAACTGGTGATCAGACTATTTCAAACGAATACGTTTTATAAGGACTGAGAAGGTTAGTTTATTATCTTTGTTGTAATAGCTCTAAACTCGACTGTTTCAAAATTTTCATTATATATCATTGCCTGTTTTTAGGTGAAAGTTAGAAGTCTGCAGACTGCAACGTAAATCAATTTTCAACACATGGTTTCCTGAATATATTTAGTTTTCGATTGAAATGAGAATAAACTTAACTTATAGATATGTTGAAAATTAACTATTTTATATTTTAAACATTCGCTAAACGCAAGTGAAGCAATAATCTATAGATGCAAATATACTTTATATTTTGTTTTAGTTTAAAAAAAAATTATTGTTACTTTTATATTCATGTTGTAATTGTAAATTGCAATTTTAAAATGATTTATATTATAACTTCTGATTAGTCTTTTTGTTCAACAAGCTTAAGCCTTGCCACGTATGACCTAATAGTTTACAGTTAGGGTAGTGTTTTTCGGTGGTAGGAGAATTTTAGTATAATAAATTCGTATTTTGTCTATATACCTATGCACAAAGTCAAAAGATATTTGATGTGTCTTCCAGGCATTGGCAGGATTTGCATTTTTTTATGACTAAAAATTTGAGCCGAAAGATATAAAGATATTTGCTAGCAATAAGTGCGTTCTATTCAAACAAAAAAATAATTATATTTATATCAATGCATTCAAATCTTAGTCAAAACTTATAGATCCTATGCTATTCCGCTATGGTTTTATCATCGTTTAGCCGCTGACGGACCGTTGTTCAAACATTGTCAATTTGCCGCCATAGGTCCGTTGTCGAACCGCCTTCAGTTTTCCGCTAACGGACCGATGTAAATACGATGTGCAAGCCAACGCGGCAACGTAACGGGCGGCCGACGTCGGCGCGGCATAAGTGCTGACAGCGGTCCGTTATCGGTCCGCCTGATTGATGTTTGCTGGGTATATATATATATATATATATATATATATATATATATATATATATATATATATATATATATATGTATATATATCTATATATATATATATATATATATATATGTATATATATATATATATATATATATATATATATATATATATATATATATATATATATATATATATATATATATATATATATATATATATATATATATATATATATATATATATATATATATATATATATATAGTATATATATATATATATATATATATATATATATATATATATATATATATATATATATATATATATATATATATATATATATATATATATATATATATATATATATATATATATATATATATATATATATATATATATATATATGTAACCAAAAAAAGTTTAAAAACTTGAATTATTTTTTTTCTTAAATAAAAAAAATTGTCAATCTTTAAATTTTGTTTTGTTTTTAAAGAGTGTTTTGTTTATTGTCAAGGGCGGAAAAAATGTTATGATTAACCAAATTATTGAATAACTGATGGATATTTTTTAATGCAAATGGAAACTAATGGGGAATGAAAATTCATAATGGAATTTCACGGGCAATGAAAACGGCTTAGTATCTTTCTTTATTTTTACTTCCTATCTTATTTTTAATTCATACTAACTCCATAACATTTTTTTTTAAAGTTGCTCTCAGCTTACTAATGATACAAGTTGCGTTCCTTGATCTGTATCTCAATGATATCCTGGTCTATCTAATTCTGTATTTATCTGGATTCTGTATTTTAATGATATACTGGTCTATCTACTCTGTAAATATTTTGTTTTTAGATTCTATAAATATTTATACAATTACTCACGACTCTTAAATTTAAAAAAAGTTTCTTTTTTTAAATATATCTATAAATTGTATATTTTAAGCATTTTTTATATTTATCATTGTATATTGCTGTATATATTAAAAATCCATTTTGGATATTTTGCAAGTGCAGGTTTCAACATACAGTTTAGTTTTATTTGCCAATTCAATATATATTATGTCCGCGTTTATTTATTTTTAAAAGAGTTTTGAGATGTTTTCTACGGCGTATTTAAGCTTTATTTTAATGTTATATTTCAACCTTTACTCGACGTCTTCGAGTTACGTTAAATCGACGTTTTACTACTAACAATACAAATCCTTGCAATCTCTGGTTTATCAACATTTGTGCTTGTTTGTGCGGCTGCGTTAACAACGTTTTTGCAACGCTTTATTTGTAAAGTTTTTTTAACGTTTAGTTGCGACTATTTTTACTGTAAGACGTCTTACAGTAACGTTTTATCATCGTAACATAAAACGTTTAACCAACGTCTCGTTAACAACTTTACATATATTTGCAAAATCAATTACTTTGCCAACGTTTCCGCAAAATCTTTTGAGGATTCAACGCTGACATGTTTGCTGGGTATAACTATTTAATATATAAAACATAGTCTCTAGTGGTCTCCAGTTGACTACTTTTTAAAAAACTTCTTCAAAATTTTAAAATAAATTTCACGTCAAAATAAATACATTAGCTCATCTTTATAATGTCTAATTAACGTTTTTTCTCATACAGTTTTTGTGAGATTATTATTTTATTTTACGTCTGACGACAGTCTGAAAGAAGTATCACATAAATAAAATAAAAACTAGTACTTAGCTGTGTTTTATGTTTGATATATTAAACAATTAAACTACCAAGTACTAGTAAAAATATCATAAAACGAAATATCTGTATAGTATATTTACACTATACAAATTATTTATATAAAATTATGAAGATAAAATAAATGACAATTAGGTAAGGAAATACCTGAAGAACAATATCGAAGTTAAGAGTAATATTCTAACAGAGAAGAAAAATAAAAATAAAAAGAAAATAAGAATTCAAAAAAAAAAAAAAAAAAAAAAAAAAATATATATATATATATTGAGAGCCCTATTAAATAATACAACTTACTTGTTAAAAAACATAAAAATAAAATAGAAAACAGTTTGCAATAAAGTATATATACGAATAAAATAAAAAAACAATTTGTAATTAATACTTTATATCCTGAAACCGTAATATTAATGTACATTTAAAAAAAAAATTGTATAAAGACAAAATAAAAAACAACTCATTGATAGTTACAAAATATTAAAAATCAATAATTTTGATTAGATTTCAACAATAACTTTTATGGTTAGGATAAACACCGTAAGTGAATTAATGAAAAAAAGTTAATACATTGTGACAGGAGCGGATTGAGGTTTAGTGTCGCGGGGGGGCCAAGTCAATAAATAGGGGCGACGGGGGTTGCCTTCAGTAATTTAATCTTATATATATATATATATATATTTTAATTGTTTTAGGGGGCGCTGTTAGACCGTTCTAGGGAAGCGTGGGGGGCAGCTTGCCCCCCCCCCCCCACGCCCTATACTAAATCCGCCACTGCATTGTGAGACTTATCTTATATAATTGAAATTTAGTTTAAAAGAAGCATTTACAATCGGATATTTTAAAATCCATAATTAATAACACCTGTTTCGATTCATTTTTTAAATTGTTGTATTTCTAACTTTTTACGTATTTGCCGAATTAGAAAACTTTTTTTTTCACAAATAAGGTTTATAAAATATCTACAAAGGTATTTTCATTATCATACAAAGTTATTTACAATTATACAAAAGTGTTTGAAGTATTTAATTTGTTTTGAATTAAATTTAGCGACAATTTAGTTATTATCTAAAAATTTTGTCGTAATTATGCACTACTTTCTCAAAATACCCAGTAAAAAAAATTTATATTTTTAGACAATTAAAAGACTTCTTTTTCATGACTTTTTATTTCTTTTTATAATTAGCCTTATTAAAGATGCGGATAAGAAATTTTTAAAAAAAAAGATCTTTTAAAAAAACGTCGGGAAAACGTCAAACAATTGGACAACTTTCTCAAGACGTAGAAAAGACGTCTTTCATACCGATGACCTTTGTAAAAAGGAAAATAAATAAAATATGTAAATAGATAATTCTCATTTGAATGTCAAATTAAACAACACCCAGAAGCGCTTTTCTTTTATTAGGGAAGGAGAGAGAAAAATTAAATAACGTTTCTTACTGGGAAACAACTTAAATTGCAAATAATAGTTGTTATTAAGAAAATTGTAATTTACTTATTAACAACTTAAATTTTATTAGAAAAGGCAGCCTACTTTTTAATTATATTTTGGTATAACAATATATTTACAACGATTTGCTGAACTGTTGTGGTCAGCGTCATCATGTAATAAAAAAAAACGTTACAAAATAAAATAAAACCAACCGCTTAAAAAAGACCCAGTAAGCACAAGACGCATTTTAGACACTTATAGACGTCTAAAACTAGTCTAGGTAAAGACGCACTTTTATAGACGTTTTGAATACATCTTTTAGACGTCTTTTATAAATGCGTTTTTAAAATGACGTTTAAAAGGCGTCTTTTTAAAGTTAAAAAAGACGTTTAAAAGACGCATAATAAATAGTCTAAAAGACGCATTAAAAGACGTCTAGATCAAGGCTAAAAGACGTCTTTTCTGAGACCTGTTTATAAATATGTCATTATGACTTCTTTTTGACGGCTTTGTCATTACGCG